ACCATAGCAGCCCTGGAAGACAGAGCAGAACAGCCCCATAGACTTCCCAAGGCTGTAATCTTTGTGGGAGCAGACTGCCATGTCTTTTTCCAACAGAGCAGCTGCTGGGTTCAAACCACCAACCTTCTGGTTAGCAGCCAAGTGCTTTAACCACTGCACCACTAGGGATCCTTGATATGTGATTGTTGTTGTTGTTATGTGCCGTTGAGTCTGCCCCGACTCATAGCCACCCCTCCTTGGGTTTCCGAGGCAGTATCACTACAGAAGTAGATCGCCCCATCTTCCTTCCGAGGAGTGGCTGGTGAATTTGAACCGCCAGACTTATGATTAGTAGTCAAGTGCCTTAGGCACTAAGCTACCAGAGCTCCTGATGCTATTGTAATAATAATAATAAAATATTATGGCTATTACTACTTGTACTTACGCTATTAATTGTTATCAAGGGACCCTGAAGCAAAATCTTTGGAAAACACCCGCTTGCTAAGTCTTTGTTATGGGCTTTGTCTACCACCTAGTGGCGAGTTCCAGTAACTGCACCCAAACAAACTTTTTCTGAAAAAAGACGTCCTGGCAGAGCCCTGCAGCCAAGTGCCCAGCCATCTGTCCACACATTCTTCCAAAAGTCTATGCTGACATCACCAGTGGGAATGCAACTTGGCACAGCCGTTGCGAAGGCGAATTCGGCAACACTTAGGAAAACTGCACATGCACTTAACGCCCTACACAGTTCAAGGAAACTGAAGATACACACCCCCACAACGCGAAAATCCGCATGCATAGGGGAGTTCATTGCAGCAGTGTTTGTAACTGCAGACTGTCGGGAACAACCCGCAGGTCCACAGACAGGAGGGCCGTTGCCACGGACTCTGAGTCCTAGTGGTGCTCCAGGACAGAACAGAGCTGCCCCACGGGGTCCCCAAGGCTGTGAACCTTCACAGGAGATTGCCACATTTCACTCACAGGGAGTGGCCGCTGGGTTTGAACTGCTGACCTTTCAGTTAGTGGCCAAGTGCTCAACCACTGAGCCACCAGGGCTCCTGATCCACAGGGTAAACTGAGCGCGTCCACACAGGAGTGCTGTCAGTGCCCTTCCCAAGGGGGCAGGGCCCACGGTCGTTGGCATCACCAGGAAGTCCTCTATCACCCCTGACGGGGCAGTCTCTCTCTGTGGGGTTCATTCCCAGTATTCACATCCTGGTGGAATCCCTTCCCTTGAAGTGGCTTGCTTCAAACCAGCAAAGGTGGCAGACATCACTCTAAAATGATGTCACTGCCACATAAGATTCTCTGGCCAGCTGACTCTCTTTAGGGTCCTCGCATCCTCTCTGGCTCTGAAACTGCCACCGTGAGCCCTACAGCGGCAAGGAAATGAATTGTGCCTGCCACCCACGGGGGCCACTGGAATCGCACGCCAGCCTAGTGCCTGCAGTCACCCAGCATGCTCTGCACCTGTCACCTCTTTCCAAACCACAGGGTGCCAGCTGAGCCCGAGGGTGTGCAATGACAGCCGAGCTGAGCGGCTTTGCTAAGACACAGCTCCTGTTCCTACTCGGGGCATTCCCCCGTGGGAACGGTCACTCTGCATCGAGGAAAACTGCTTTCTAGGCAGCACTGAGGGCTGCCAAGCTTTGCACTGTTGTTGCTGTTCGGTGCCGTCGAGTTGGCTCTGACTCACAGCGACGCCGTGCTCAGCAGAACGGAACGCTGCCCGGTCCTGCGCCAGCCTTAAGACCCTCGCTGTACCTGAGCCCATCGCGGCAGCCACTGTGTCCGTCCATCTCGTGGAGGGCCTTCCCCTCTTTCGTTGACTCCCCACCTTACCAAACATGACATCCTTCAAGGAATCATCCCTTCTGACAACATGACCAAAGTAGGTGAGACGAAGTCTGGCCATTCTCGCGTCCAAGGAGCATTCCGGCTGCACTTCTTCCAGGACAGACTTGCACTTGGCCAGGCCAAAGACTGGGGGACGCCGTTTTCCGGGAATTGCTGAACCCACGTGTGTGGCAGACTTTGTTTTGTTTCATTTCCTCAGCCAAGTGGCTGGAAGGCCTTGTGAGGTTTCGCTCCTCTGGGATACCAGCTCCAGGCTAGTGATCGAACAGAACCGCACAGAGCGTGTCAGGTACCAAAGCTACCTGCTTGTCGGATAGATGGACAGGGCTGACGTTTGTGAAGACGACAGCCAAACACATCTGCTCCTCATGAGCATGCTTCCTGGATATTAACATACCAACACACAGGATTAGCATGAATCGGAGGGCAGCAGAGAGTTCTTGTCTCTTGAGAGACAGCAGGAGAACCGAGAGACTGGCATGAGACAGTGACAGCCTTACCAGCCTACGGAGGAGAAAGCTTGATGCCTTTGGTTAAGTGGCTTACTGGCAGAGTGGGTTGCCTTCAGGCATTAACTGGTAGAAGAGACCGGCTTGAAATGGAGTAGCAGGTTGGCCAGCCCACGGAGCAAGAAAGCTAAATGTCCTTTGGGGCAAGAAGATTCCTGGCGGAGTGGATTGTCCTCAGACATTAATTGGCAGAAGCGGAGACCAAGGAAACGGAAGCAGAGCTGCCTCAGCCTGAAAGCGTAGGACCATGGCCTTTGGGGGTAGAACGACCACAGGCCCCTAAGTTTCAAAGAGCCAGGCCTTCACCAACTTGGTTCTGGAGTGTGGGGCTGCTCGTTCATGTGAGCCAGTGGGATGGAGCCACAGCCTCTGCCCAAGAGTGAGGGGGCGGGGCTGCCATGCCTCCCAAGAGGGAGAGGAACGGGGCCCGCCAAGCCAAGGGGGTGAGGTCGCCACTTAGAGGAACTGGGGGACTGGAGCCACCCAGTGAGGAGACCTGTACAGATGCCACCCAATGAAGATCTGTACAGATGCCACCCAATTAAGATCTGTACAGATGCCAAGTTGACAAGGGGTGGAATTGTGGTGGTTATGTTTGTGTGTCAACTTGGCTGGGCCTGGTTGACTGGCTGGGCAGCTGGTGGTAGTTATTCCCCCTGATGAGAATGGCAATCAACTCCATGGTGGGATCTACCACAAGCAGCTGAGTAGCTGCCTCTGGCATGTGGTCTGCTTCCTGTATATAAGGAGAAGCCTTGGGAATGGTCTCTAGTCTATGGCACACTTGGACCGTGCATATAGCCATGTTGTTATTCAGCAGCCTGCCATGCTCTGCTGACCTTAGGACTTATAATGGACTTGAGTTAATGGCCTGTTGTGTGGTTTGGTAACATCGGGACTGTGCCTTTTTACTTGTCAATCTTGGGGCTTGTCAGCCTCAGCAGCCAGCAGCCGTCTGAGTGAAGAAATGCCTCTAGCTCCAGTGGGCCAGGAGCAGGAGGCAGAGCTGGACCCCAAGGTTGAGGGGCTTTCACCCAGCCCCTAGAGCCTGGCACTTTGAACTTGGACTTAAAGCCTCCAAACTGTAAGAGAATAAACTCCTGTTTCTTAAGGCCATCCCATCTGTGGTATATTCTTGTCAGAGCGGCACCAGGGAACCAGTTCACCCATCGAGAGCACAGGCCCAGCCCACATTGTGTTGTGCTTACCTGGTGATCCCCAGAATGTGCTGTGAGAGTATGTCCTCATTGTCTTGGGTCCTTGGAAACACGACAGTACATAAAGCAAAGAGGGGTCAACATAGGCCTTTCCATTTTCCCCAATCTGACGGCTGAGGGTTAGGACAGAAATGAAGTGGCCCGTGGACCCTTCCTCCAAGATAGAGTAACACTGACAAGAGGAGGGGAGATGGGCAGCTTCCATCTGAGGTCAAACTCCGACAGACGGAGAAGACCACACACAAACACGGCAGAGACCCTGAAGGCTTTGCTCACAGAGGGCAAACGACCGTTTTGTGGTCGGGGAAGAAGGTGGTGGTGATTCAGGACTTCTCTCAGGCACCGGAAGCTTGGACTGATGTGGATTTAAGGACTTTCCCACGGTCCTCCACAGCCGGCTTCTCTCCCCTGGCCCGTACCCTGTCATCTATAGAGCCATCAGGGTGGCCTGGATTGGATGAAGGCTCCTCAGGGCAGGCCCCGGGGAGGTGGCCCGAGAGTCGGTTCGCCAGCCTAATAGCCCAGAGCAGCACACATTTTCCTCAGTCATCCTGATAAACCAAAGTATTGGTGTTTCACCAAGTGTTATAAAGACCATTCCTGTCAACTAGTTTGGGAACCTGGTTAGCTCACCGGCATCCCAAATCCCAATGACACTGAAATAAGAATTGTTTCTTCATTTTTCTCCATCCCATTAGGTGTGTGTTTGGTAGAACAGTAAGTCGGTCCATGGAACCCATGCGATAGAGTGAATGCATGTTTCTGGTGGTCAAAGGATGGGAAGATTCTAACATCTCCCTGACATCGTCTAACTTTATCATTTAAAGTATAATTAAAGTTGTCCTTTGCCATGTAATAAGTCACAAGGATAAAATCCAGCCCCTTCTTTTATACCAAACACCTTGTTGTTGTTGTTGTTATGTGCCATTGAGTCGGATCCGACTTACAGTGACCCCTCCTTGGGTTTCCGAGGCGGTATCACTACAGAAGTAGATTGCCCAGCCCTTCCTTCCGAGGAGTGGCTGGTGGGTTTGAACCTCCAGCCTTCTGGTTAGCAGTCAAGTGCCTTAGGCACTACGCTACCAGAGCTCCCACCAAACACCTACTAGGAGAAGAACACAAGAGTTTCCATAAGGGTAGCCCAATCTCCTAACCCTCATCGTCCTGCTGGGCTGCTGGGCCTCGGTCAGGGGTAAAATCCTAACAGGCAGCCCCACACATCCTGCCACCCAAAGACCTGGGGGAACAAGCGAGGCAGAAACAAAGCGAAAGCCGCCCAGGCTACTGGTCTCACATCCATTTTTAATTCTAGTTAGAAAGAAACAGGGAAAGAGGAGGAATGCGTCAGAGGAGGGTGCGCTTCCTCTGGCGAGGGCGTCTCCGTTCGTCTGCACTGCTGGTCACTCAGCGCTTCTCTCCGACGCTGACACCAGTCCCTTCAGTCCGACTCTTCTTCCCCCCATATCTCATATATTGTGATTTTATTCAGCGGATCTGCAAGTAAGTCCGCGTTGTGGAGCTTGAGGCGACCGCTGGTTGCCATGGTGGCTTTAAGATTCCGCACCTTCGACACAAAGTTTACGAGGTCCATCTCGAGTTGGGTTAAGGTACTGAACGCATGGTTTCTGTTGGGGGAAGCGTTTTGATTTTTCTTTAGTGGAGAGCGCAATGAGCAGCCTCTAAGGGCAGGAGGATTCTGATCCTGTCAAGAAAGATATTCAGGGTGAGCGCGACCGCAGACTTGCCACCTCGACACGGTGGGTAGAGTGGGCTCATCTAAGAGGAGATGGCCCGAGCATTGCTCTAGTCCAGTCATCGGTAGACCATGGCCAAATTCGGCCCACAGCCTGTTTTTATAAAGTTTTATTGGAACACAGCCATGCTCATTCTTTATAACGGCAGAAGTGAATGTCTGGGACTGAGACCATATGGCTCACAAGGCTGGAAATATTACCCATCTGGCCCTTCACAGAAAAAGTTTGCTGACTCCTGCTCTCATCCGTTTGGACGGTATTACGAGTTGCCGGGTCTTTCTGTAAGAACACGCTGCCATTTTGTTTGCTCTTCCCCCCTCAACCGAAGGGTTGCTTTTTGGGGACGTGTTGCTATTCTATGCCTTTATCGCTTTACTGTAGCTTTCTTATGTCCCTTTTCTTATGTCATATAAATGACTCCATTTTTTGGTTCAGCACCTGGTGACAAGTCAAATGCCAGGCCAATTAAAGACTCAGGGAGTCTGGCTTGGTGAGTATTTTGAGCTAAAGAAGCCCAAGGGCTTGAACTTGTCCTTGATTGGACAGCACTCCCTTGACAGATACCTAGTGTTCCAAGGTCTTATTCGCCCAGCAGGCGGAAGGCCGTCCTCACTGTTGGTCCCACCCTCTCTGGGAATCTGGAGATTTTGTCCACAAGAGAAACATCAGAAGTGAGTTTGCTAACCTTGCCAGGACCTGGAGATGATACTTTCTCTAAAGACCATTCCTCTCAGCTAGTTTGGGATCCCGGTCAGCTCACCGGCATCCCAAATCCCAATGACTCTGGGGATAATGGGGATAATATAAATTCGTTACACTAACAGTCCCCCTACACCAACTGGAAGACTGTTTCTCCGAGGCTGAGACCCTTGACTCTGAGTCTGGGGGTGGCAGGGAGGAGCCGTCCTTACCTTATTCTTCTCACTGTCTCCGCGCAACTTGAGCACCACGTACAGCACCACCACAAACAGGAGCCAGAGCCACTTGCTCCCCAGCCAGCCCTGGGCGTGCTCGGGAAGAGTCTGCCTGATCCGGAAGTGCCCTCCGCAAGGCACCTTGCCCAGGGGCTCTCTGCCTTTCTCCCTCAGAGACGAGAACATGAAGGCATGACTGCAGGACAGGCACAGGGGCAAGAACAAGAGCCATCTCAGCGTCCTCATGGTGAGCGGGGATGAGAGAGGATGTTGCTCATGGTGGGTTGCTTTGCCCTTGCAGCTGGGCCTGGCACCTAGGGCTGGGCCACTGATGATGTCACAGAGGACCCTGAGCTGGCCCATTGTGACACTGGAGGGTGAGTGAGTGGTGGCCCAGAAGTAGGACTTAAGGGGAGTTAGAGAAGCTGCCAGCAGGTGATGAGCACGAGGACAGGCCTGCGGTGGGCCGCTTCTCTTTCCCAGGGTGTGTTCTCTGAGCCTGGAGCTGTGCTGGGAGAGGCCACCGTCTCCCTCCATCTTCCGTGTTTGACCCAGAGGTTGCAGTGAGCAGAGGAGACATGACCTGTCCCCCCAGGGTAATGAGTCGAGTGGGAAACATACGAAACCAGAGGTTACATACTAGAGGCCACAGATGTGGTTTGTCTGGCCTATAATTTTTTTTTTTAAATTAGTTGTCAACATTTAAATGCTGGGGGGACTTCACTTAAAATACAAACAAACAAAAAACCCCAAGTTTCTGGCTTCTTTGAAAAGACGGAAGGTCTGGAATCACTGGGCCACTCTCTCCCAGGGCCACTCTCTGCCGAGCCAAGCAGGCGTTTCCCCTGTAGAAAGCATGCCCCTCCCCAGGCCCCACCACTCCCTATTGCCTCCCCAATGCGCGACCTTACCCTCAGCGCGATCCCTGCACTGACAGTGTAGTTTATTTGGTTGGAACTGTGTACAGAGCAGCTTGAAGAGCACATGGCCAGGGGGCTAGTGAAGGCCAGGGTACCCAGGGAGCTGCTCTGAACAGCGGATCTGAGGAGGGTTTGGGGGGATGGCTAGGAGTGGCTCGGTGAGAGGAGGGGGGTGACATCTCGGCTGTGGGAAGACCTGAGGAGAGGAGGGCACGGCCTGTGCGATGGTGGAGGCTGACGCCAGGAACGACTCGGACTCACCGGCCAGCAGGGCTGGCGCCTGAAACACAAGGCCTGCGGGTTCATCTGTGCAACCATCCTCCAACCGCAGGACCCGATTCCCAGACTAGGAATAAAACTGCGAAATAGAAGAAAATCGAGCTCTGGGTGCAAGAGAGACGTTCTGTAAACCTTGAAACAGAAAGGGGGAGCGGAGTATTGAGACATGCTGCGCACTGGTCCCCGATGCTGGAGGGAGTCCCTGGAGGGCAGGTGGGGGGCTCCTGGCAGAGGACTGTGCGGGCAGAAGCAGGGTCCAAGCAGATTCCAAGGGTCAGTTAGGAGCAGGCACTGGTAAGTCAACCCACTCACTCTTGAAGAGCTGCCCACGTGAGAGGCAGCTGCCTGGCGCCTGTGTTCACAGGCTGGGGCTCTGCCCTGCGACCTTCGGGGGGTCTTGTTCTCACAACCTATGCCCACCGACTGGTCGGCATCACAGCCCTTGTGGGGCCAGGTTCAGCCACTCAGGGACAAGGGCTGAGCATCTGGAGGTGGACTGCGTGAGCACACAGCCTGCGTGTTGGGTGATGGGCCCAGTGGCACACCGACGTTTGGTGGGGAGGGCACGCCGCGGGAGGGGACAAACGGACTCAATCCATACAGATGACCCCAAACGACAAGGGCTCGGGAGTTTCATCACACGTGGTTCTTGTTATATGGACCACCTAAGTGTGTGTATATTTAATGACAGGAATCCCAGTTCCTTTTTTACAGTGTGTTCAGACGTCTATAGCAGCAGTCCATCCTTGTTGCCAAAGCTGGGGGACAGTGGGCGTTCCAAGTGGGTCTTTGAGCTGAAATTGAGTCAAAAGACACAAACACGCTCATGGGGTTAGGGACAATCCTGTTCATTTTGGGGAACTTTCACGCCTTGGAAATGAGGGTGGCGCTAAGTTGAACAGACAGCTGTGGGGATTCCTTCGTCCTCTCCTGGCCACAGAAGTTTGAGGCCTGGTGGGGTGCAGCGTGGGACTGCCAGCTTGCCAGCCCTCCCCTCCTCTCTCAGCCTAGCATCCTGAGTGGCACCTTCCACGGCTCTTCCGCCGCACGCTCACTTGACAAGCATGTCCTGCCTACACACGAGTGCCACCACCGGACGGGCCTGTGTGCTTGGGGACTTGTCTTCACTGCTCCGAGCCTCAGAGTGCTCCTGCCTGTCAACGGGGGTGATGGGTGGTGGTGGCCTCTCTGGGCTGCTGAGGCCCATGAGACGAGGCCGGCCCAGTAATTAGCTCTTTCTGTGATAAGGCTACTTACTGGGCCTGTGTCAGGCCGCTGGGCTCTGGGAGAGGCACCAAGCACGGAACCGGGCGAGGCACTGGGTGAGCACAGGAGGCCGCACCCAACACACGGCTCTCAGACAGCATGTTCCCTAAGGTGGCTGAACGCCAGGCATTGCTCCGAGCTTGTCTCAGTTCCTGGGGGCCCTGTGGGCCTGTGAAAGGCTGGCCAGGAATCCCCAGAGAAAGCCCTTCCTCCATAGCCAACGGGCAGGGCAGGGCGGGGGCACAAAGTGACCAGAGGGCAGCGGTGTGAGAGCATGGGCTGACGGCCAGAGCGGGAGAGTGCGCTGAGCCAGGCCGGAGGTGTGCAGCGCGCCCAGATGTGACCCAGAGGGAGGCAGGCTGTCAGGTGTGCGGAAGTTCTGATGCGACGATCGGGAAACCTGGACACAGCCAGAATGACCAACGCAGAACAAACAGGCGGATGAAGGCTAACACCCGGAAAACGCAACAGGTGCAAACAATGGCCGTCAGAAAGAAAACACCTTGCAACTGCTGACACTGCACGTGGCAAAATTTTACTAACGGTTTTCTGTGTAAAATTAAAACGGAGAACTGCTTGGGACGAAAACAGGTAACAAAATAAAAAGGTAAACGGGTTAACTGGGCCGTACAGAACGTTAATCGGGAATAAAATGCTAACCCAGCCACTCCTGGGAAAGCCCCCACGGAGGTGTGTGGGTGTCCGCGTAATCCTGATGGCAACACCCCTACTGGGTCCCCACCATGTGTGCTCGGGGCAGCGGAGAGCCCCCGGGCAGGGCTCCAAGGGGCGGCCTCAGGGATTGCACGCTGCCGCCCCGTCCTGCACTCTCCGGCCCGCACCCCTGCCCTCACACGTTCTTCCCAGCTCCTCTGCTGCTTTTGGAGGGAAGTCGGTGCCCAGCAGCTGGGGACAAAGAGCCAGCCGCGTGCCTGTGCACAGCAGCACCGGGACCCGGCTCCTGTGGGTTCCTAGCTCGCGTTCTCCAGAAGTTTTCCTGCTGACTCCACACACATCACAGAGAGAGAAGATGCGCCCACAGTGCGCACAAACCCCCCTTACCCTCTGCTGAGGAGAGAGAAGGTGGAATTCACGTGATGCCACGCAGTGGCTGTAAGTTTCTTAGCAACACATTAGTGGAAGGTGAAGAAAGAAAAAAACAGACCGATCACAGCAAAGGCTGACTGGCTTTATTTTTGCACTCAATCATTAGGTGTCTGTGACAGATGAAAATACCTCCCCTGAAATACATGCTGGGATCCTAATCCCTATCCCTGTCGACAGCATCCGTTTCGGAACAGGTTCTGTTATGGTAACGAAGCGCCATCAGTGCGGCGTGGATCTTGAACTCTGCCACTTCTGCATAGTAAGTACCACAGACAGAGACAGCCATGTTGAGGGAACGCAGGGGACTCTAGAAGCCAGGAACCCAGGGACCGCCGGCTCCCTGAAGCAGAAACAGACAAGGACCTCTCTCCCCCAGAACCGCACTGTGAACCCAGATTCCAGCCTGGTCTGGGCGACACGTTTCTGTGTTGTAAAGCCACTGCCTGTGCTGTTCCCGACACAGCAGCACTGAGACCAAGATGACGCCCCACGTCCTCTACCTTTGACACGATGAAGTCAGGAGCACCCCCTAACTACCAGACAAAAAGCCCCAGCTCCCTCCAGGGTCGGGGGGAGGGACGATGCCCTTCAGAGAGCCCAGCAGCAGGCCCTGTGCGGCTGAAATCTGTCCGTCCTGACATTCAGCTTCATTGGTCGGTAATTTACCGTTTGTGGCAAAATCAAGGCAATTTTCATCAAAAAGAGCCACACACAGCAGTGAGCAATTGGGCTTTTTAATGAGGTCAGGCATGGGAAGTGCACCCCCCGCCTCAGCACAGGAAGGCCCAGACCCATCTCCGGTGGAAGCGCGTGTCAGGCGGGAAGTGGGAGGGCCCATGGCCGGCTCCAGGGTTTGCGAGGGTGACTTTCACCACTGTGCAAACGGAGTGATACCAGCCAACCCGGGTACCGTCACGCCCACAGGGAGACTGAAGGGCACCTGCCCGGGGAGGAGCTGCGGCCGCCTCGCCAGCTGCGCCTCAAAAGCAGTAGGAGGTGTGGGTGACCCAGTGGGCGGACTCCTCCTTGGAGCGCTTGGCGGAGCTGTGAGTAGTGAAGAGGGACTTGTAGGCCTCGGATTCTTCGCTGCTGGCGATGGACCTCTTTGTGGTTCCACATGGAGGCTTCCCGACCTTTCCAGAAGCACTCCCATTGGTTGCTGGAAAAAGGAAAAGCCAAGAACTGTGAGTGGGGACTAGAGACCATTCCAAACATCACATTCTCCACAGACATTGTCAGCCAACTTTCCTGGGATGAATGCTGAAATACAGTCTCAAGTGCCAACTCCTAAAAGAAGACAAAGCTGCTTTATTGAAATGTATCATTAAAATAACAGTAAGTTTCTTCTCAGGTGCCCTGGAATCTATTCCAATTCACCGTGACTCTATAGAACAGAGTAGAACCCACAGTGTTTCTGGCACAGTGATCTTTACCCACATCTTCCTCTCATGGAGCAGCTGGCAGCTTTGAACTGCCGACCTTTCTGTTAGTAGCTGAATGCTGCACTAAGACTCCTGGCATTTTATGGTATATAATTTAAATGTCAACATCTTTACGAGACATATTCTTTTACATTTCTTTTGGGAAATTAATATACTTTTTAAATTTCAATTGAAGAGAGTGAGCTTCAGGAGGTGCAATGATTCTGGATTTTACGCTGGTCTGCTCTTTGACAGGAGGCCAGTAGGCAGCTGAGAGGACTCTAACCACCATCTGTGTGCACCTACAAACCCAACCCTAGGAAAACCAGGAACACTACTACCAAATACCCTGGGCCTTCCTGGTTTCAAAACACACAATAAAGCTATGATAATCAAAACAGTGTGGTACTGGTATGCATGTAGACATACAGACCAGTGGACTCAAATTAAGATTCCAGAAGTAAATACATACATCTATGGCCACCTGCTTCTTGACAAGGGTGCTAAGTCTATCCAATGGGGGAAATAACAGTCTCTTCAAATATGGTGCTGGAAAAAAATGGTGCTGGGACAACTGGATCTCCACATGCAAAACTGAATCCATACCTCACACCATACATGGAGGTTAATTCAAAACAGATGAATGACCTAAATATAACAACTAAAACCATAAAACTCTTAAATGAAAACAGATGGGTAAAGCTTTCAAGACCCTGTTTGCGGCAATGGATTCTTAAACACAACAACAAAGGCTCAGGCAACACAAGGCAAAACAGAGCAACCGGACTTCATCAAAGTGAGAACTGGGGGCGCCAGAGAACTTTATCAAGAAGGTTCCCAGCTTCCTGCTGGGGTCTCAGCAGGACCTACCTGCACTTTTGGGAGCCGGGATGCTCTTCTTCTCCCTCGAATCAGGGCTGGTTTCCTCAGGCTTCCCTGTCTTAACAGTTGACGGCCCTGCAAATTCTGTGAAAGGAGCAAAAGTAGAAACAACAAGCAACAGCATGAGCACAGGGATAGTGCATAGTCTCGTTTGTTAAAGTGCCTCTTCTCAGAGCCTGACCTTCAGGGACAGCTGGCTTGGACAGGGCCTCGGCCGCCTTGGGCTTCCTTGCTTTCTGTGAAAAAAAAAAAAAAAAAAAAAATGTCAAAGGATGGCTGAGAGGCCACTGGGTGTCCGGTCTCAGTGTGGTCACCTGCCACCCCGTCAGACTGAGGGAGTTCACAGGCAGCCACTCCATGACCCCACCCCCTCCTCTCTAGATTCCTGCCTCTCACCAAAACGGGTCTATTTATCTAAATCTCTGCGTAAACGGCCACTGAACACTCAATCCAACAGAACGGCCAAGAAAGGGCTCTGCAGAGAGCTGGCTTGGTTTCCCACTGACGCCGGAACGCCACAATCCCCAATGTGTTAACGGCAGATTCCAGTGAGAAGGCAACACTGACGGCGACTACTCACACGAAGGGCAGTTCCCTGCTTACCACACAGCAGACAGGCCCAGAGGCAGCAGCACAAACCCGCCCTGAATCTCACCCACACCAGTGATGCGTCCAGTCTGGGCGAACGGGCCCGATGTCTAGTGACTGCAGTCATTACACTCTATCTTAACTTTGGCTAATTCTCACCTCTGGATTTAGTCTTGCTAGATTTTTAAATTTCAGGCACTAGTATTCTGTTACTTATAACAGTTATTTTTTCAGCAAAGAGAAACTAACCATCCTAAAATTCCAGGGCAGTGCCAGCATGGAGCCCGTCGCAGACATGACAACTCTGACTACAGTCGTTCTAAGAATTCACTTTAAAAGTATCATTTCCCTTAGAATCCAAAAGGTGGCGCCAGAGACCGGCAGCCAGCTGACTTTGGAAGGCCCCCACCACTACAAACAGGGAGGGGAGACTTGCTTGGGGCTCAAGCAGTGGCCTAGACCTTGTTCTAGCTGCAATGTAGTCTAGGCAGCCTGCATGAAACAGATCCCCTCAGTTCACTGCACACATGAGACAGGGGAGTAAGAGGCCGGCTGAAGCACACGGGTGGGCAGGATGAGGCAGAGGGAAATAGCGGGCTGCCTGCAACCGCGTGCGCACTGGGGAAATATGTGGATGTCCTGGCAGCAGTAACTAAGAGGCACTCCCTGGAGCTCTGGGGCAGGCTGTGCCCCGAGAGGGGTGGGCTCCTCCCACGGGGCTCTGAGGGCCTTGGGGAGAAGCCTCAGACCAAGCAGGACACTAAAGCAAAGAGGTGCCAGTCTGAGCTCCATAGCAGCTCCCTACAACACAATGTTGCCTTTTGCGTTTCTTTCTAATTGCATCTGTCTTGATTTTGTTGCTGTTGCTGAAGACCTAACATCCACCAATCCGCCACCCTCTCGGGTAGAATTCAGGGCACTGCTGACACCATCCTGTTCCACCCTCCTCTTCCAGACGGTTCTTCCCGCACTGACGTGAACTCCTGCCCTGAGCCTCCTCGAACCTTTCCAGTTGCTGGTGCCCAGTGGATCCCATACAGGTGGTTCTTAAAAGAGCACAGCCCAAGGCAGACACTCTCACTGGCTAAGTAAACAGCTGCCTGGTTTTAAAAGTGAGCTCGACCAGTGGCAGCCACGAGGAACAAGCTGATCCTCTCCACAAGCTGGCCTCAGTCAAGAATACACCTGGCTTTTGTCTCACAAGCCCACACAGAATGAACGCACTTGCAGTTTGCTTTTTAACCTAACACCGCACAGAGGACCAAGCGGCTCCGTAACTAGGTCCCACGAACGCCCCACAGAACACGTCTGGTGGCACTCGAGTCAAAGGCGCACAGAGGAGTGAGAGACTCCCTAACTCGGTCCCACGAACGCCCCACAGAACACGTCTGGTGGCACTCACGTCAAAGGCGCACAG